ATAAAGTTTTATCAAAACGAATACCCACTAAACAACTAAAAATAGTTGTCACCTGGAAATACCTAAAAATGTTGCTTAATCCTGGCTTTTTTTTTCAATAGTTGAATTAAATTTAAAGCATTTTCATTTACAGTTATAACCTTCAAAAACAAAAAAAAAACTGAAAAATTAAAAATTCGAGGAATAATATTCTGGATTTAGTTTGTTTTTGAATAATTTTGCCTGAACAAAATGATTATGCAGTTATGACGTCTATTCGTAATGTCATTCAGTTCTCATCACTCGAATTATACTTAAATTATACCTCTTTTTCTTTAGTTTTCTTTTTGTTTACACTCATCATTGAAGATTTTTGATGAATGAATAGTGCAAAAAACAAGAGTAAAAAATATAAAAAAATTTAAAATATAGATGGTTTTACGAAAAAAGAAATTAAAAAAAAAATAAAAACCGGCTTTTTAATTTCCAATTTTTTTACTAACTCTACAAGAACCCAATTGCCCCCCAAAACAACACTTCAATGTTCCATCGTTTTTGATATGATAAAAAAGCAAGTTTTGAGCTATTGATATGTCAAAGAATAAATAAGTGTCAAATCTTAATAATAACTGCAGCACATTTAACCTGTGCTAAGTTTCAAACTGAACAGCTTGAATTTTTGATGATAAATGTAGTTGAAACTACATCTAGGTAGGCAACAAAATTTGCTCAACAAAGTACAGATGTATATTTGAGACGTTGGATTATTGGTAAACAACTCACCATTACAGAACGAGTTTTGACAGTTAAAGCAGGAGCAATTCGACTTAATGATATGGACAATAGAGCAAGAATAGTCTGAAAAAATGACAGTTAATATATGTCATCAAACAGTTATCGATTGCCTAATGGAATTGCTAAAAAAACTTACAAATATCGCGATAAACAGAAATTTAGCAGATTAGTTTCTTTTTTTCTTTTCAATTTGAAAGAGAAAAGTAAAAAAGTTTTTGAGTGAAAACTTGTTTATTTCAGTAATTAATGATAACTAAAAAAAAAATAAGACAGCTTATTATCTGCTGTTAAGAAGTTCTTTGGTAATAACGTTTTTAAGCAATGTTTTTCAAATTATCTTCGTCATCATCTTCATTAAAAGATTGCAAAGTACCATACAATTCTTTGACAGCAAAACAAGATAAAAAGCAGAAGAGTTATACTTTACAGTTGTCTTTTTTTTTTCTTATTGTTGTTTACCTCAAATATAATTTTGATAATACAGATATTTTTTTTTTCAAACTTTAGAATTTTAAAAACAGGTTTTTTAATATTTTTTCAGCATTTAAGTCTAGACTTTTATAGGCTTTTGTACCTACAGCATGTATCGCTTTTCTGGTGAACTGTCTAATAGTGTTTCTGAAATCTTCAAAAAGTCTTGAAAATATAAGTCTGATCTGTTTTCAGGGGGCCAGAGGTTGTAAAGCACAAGAAAGTGTGCTTAACTGTAATGTTATAGGCAAGAAAGCATTTTTAGTAGTTTACAGCTGTTAGGCTTAACTGCCAAGTAAAAGATAATAGCCAGAAAAAAAATGGTTAATCAAATGAGACTACAAATACTGTTGTTTAGAACTATTTCCTGCTTACAATTTAATCTTAACCACTTTATTATGGCTTTGTTTTGCCTACACTCTCTGGTCATTTTTAAACATCAGACGGCCAAAAAGTCAAATTTTTAAAGCTGTTTTTGAAGCAACAAAATCGTCTAAATTTTTCCCAAATTTCTTACAGCTTATTTGATCTAAGAAATAGATACAGAATAGATAACTTGTAAATAGTAAGTGTAAAAAAATTTCAAGACTAGTTATCTGGGTAATTAAATGAAAGAGTTTATGTAAGAAGTATCGCTTCTATATTAAAAAAACAATAAGATCTCTGACACTTGTGTGAAATAATTACTTTGGTGAAGAACTAAAATTGTCTTATAAGCTCTTAAAATTAAAAGAAAATAACAGAGATCTATTTTAAAATTTTAATTAAGATAAACTCTAAAAAGTCAGAAGTGGCAATCACTTCATTGCAAAATCGTGATATTTTTTTGACTTCGACATAGTAGCCTCTGAGAAGCATCTATAAACTATGAATTGTTCTTTTTTCCCTATACAAATAAATTTTTGGTTTTTTTTTGTATGACCGTTTTGAGTAAAGTCATCAAACTCCCTCGTCAATTTTCAAGCAAATTTTGTTCTGTACAATTGACAATAGCCACCAATTTTACATCACAAACTTCAAGTTTTTTTGTAGTTATAGCTTTCACAGATCAATTTTCTGGCAATTACATTGTTTTTCAAAGCTATTCTTCTCATAAATTTGTTAATTCAGTGTTTGTGATGCTGTATTTTGGCAGGAAAAAGAATTATTTGTAAACTTGTTTTACATTAGTTCTTACATCTGTTTCAGCCATTTTAAAAATATAAAAAAAGATGTATTTCTAATTAGTCAAACGTTACTCTAGACAAGAGGAAATACAAAGCTTGTGATAACCTATGCGTTTTTTTTCGGTCAGTTAAAATAACCTCTAAAGTTTTGTAAGCGCTTTAACTGCTGAGATCTGTTTTGAAAAAAATAATAAAATTTCAGGAAATCTTGAAAAAGTATGAATATTTTCTTATCTGTCATGACCAGTAGAAAATTTATCAAATATTATAATGGACATAAATTCACCAAAAAAGCGGTGTCTTCTACACAAACTGTCAAAAAAATAAAACAGCAGTGTTTAAGTAAAATAAAGAAAACAAGGAAATAATTTGTATAATTGATTTGAATTTATCATTTATACGAAATGATTACAAAAAAATGTTTATTTTTATACAATTCTAAAGCAAATGCTCTTAAGCAAAAAAAAAAAAAAAA